CTCTTTTTTTTAATTTTTCTTTTCTCTTGACAAAGATCACTTACAAGTAGTCTTATTACAATAATTCTTGTTTCAAAGAAAAAAAACGAACACATTTAAGATCTTAAAACCTTGATGTCATTAAACCAATTTTTTTTAAATAAAGAAAATATCCACAATTCTTATGCTTGGGAATATAAAACCAATATAATTAAATATAGCAAGAAACAAAAAAAACTTATACTGTCGGAGATTATCTCAACCGAACTTATTACACCCCACATCGAGTCATCAACATTCGATGACGCGAGATCAATGATTTAGCTTCAATCTCGAACCGAAAAAGCAAATTTGAGTATTCATCCTTAAATCTCTACAAACTCTAACCCCTAAAATTTTTTTAGCTTACCCTCAATTTTTCAACCCTTAGTATTTTTAAAGTAAGAGAGGTCTTTTTAAAGCATGAGAGAGAAAGTGGGAGACCTAGGGTTGGGGCATGCCCCTCTAGAGGCTTAGGAGAGAGAGAGAGAGTTAAAAAGAGAAAGTTGAAAAGACAGACCTTGCGGAGAGAGAGTTGTGGGAGAGAGAAAAGTGTAGAGAATAGGGAGAGTGTGCATCCCTGTTTATAGAAAAAAATTAAGTGTATAGAGAAAAATTAAGTTTCTTATAGTTTGCATCTTTTTTGAGATTGAATATGAGCCGTTGATCAATGTGACTTGTGGGGTGAGAGATCTGAGCCATCAATTCCATAGATGAACCAACAACATTATGGAAGATGTTTGGACCATTACCCCTTAGGTGATTGGACCATTATCCCCCTTTCTTTAAACCATTTTCCCATCAATATATTTAAATAAATTGAATCTTATTTAAATATTATTCATTCCATAAAATAACATATTCTTTTCCACACTATTCAAAGATATTTCAATAACTTTATTTTTATAAATCCAAAAATTATAAATAAAATATCAAAAGACTCATAAAAATTCAAATAATTAATTATAAAATAATTTATATCATAAAACAAACAAAATTAAATTAATATGATGGGAAATGAATTCATATGGTTTAGCAATTGAATTAACAATCATGGGGCACTCCACTTTCAACTGTGGACTACAGACCACACTTCCATTATCATATCGACCCAGTGTTTTTCATGACCCACAGTCCAAGCAGGGGCTCATTAGTGGGTCACCAAAGTCTGGCCGATGAGCCAAGGGGTTGCAATATCAGTCTGTGGATTTCAGGTCCTCCCCTAGAGATGAGTCAAGGTCACCAAGACCTTATGCGACCACAACTCTATGACGTATAGGGGTAATATCTTGCACATGCATACGCTTCACTCTAAAAGGTAGATATTTGGCTTTTCCGAACAATCTATCGATATACATGCCATGTGATGGATCATGGATGATGTTTTGGTTCCCCTATATCTGTAGGCCCACCATCACACACAAAGGTCACACAGTTCCTCGGCTCATATATCCAAGCATAAGCTCCGACCTTATCAAGGGATAACCTAGAACCCTTATCGGTTTGTTTTCTATACGCAGATACCTTAGGTTTTCCGACCGACTGAACTAGATCGTCAAGCACAGTCAGGTATCAACAAATATCGTTTATTTAGTATCATCCACGAGGGACCACACTCCCATTGAGTTCATGTTCAACTATATTATTTCATTTTTACAAGCACTTATAAAGCCTTTAAAGGCCACATAAACTCAACAGTTTGATCCCCGTGGCAACATCTAGAATATGTACTTTTTTGTCAAATGTTTTTCGGTTGTGATAAATAAATGAATATTGTCATAACTTTAGTATAGGGCTAAATCCATGAGAAATGAATTCTTCATTATTATGTGATCACTAAAGTTTATGCCGTTGTAGACGTTCTTCTTGGCTGATGCTGTTATTATGTAAATAGTCTTTCTAGTTTAGCTCATAAGGCAATGTTTTACTCTCAAAGATGACACCCATGCTCAAACCATCGCTTATGGCTTTCTAGCAATCAAAACTAGAATAAAGTGAACAATTAAGGAAATGTTTAATTTCGAGAAAAGCATCAGTGAAGTGTGGTTTTGAGATTCTTCGGGGCTCCTAATTTAATGGTAGCCATGTTTCACTTGTACGAGTTTCCTTTTTTTTTTCTGATAAAAGAGTACAATGCCTTGGATTCTGTTATCCTTGTTTTTCAACATAATCAATTGACTCGATAGTTGATACCGCTTCACAAAAAAAATGAGAAAAAAAGAAAAGAAAAGTGGGACTATTTCTTGCAATGTTTGATTTTGGTTCAGTCTTTTGGTTTTGTGAACAGAATTTCAACAATCTGAAATTAGAGGACACAATAAATGGAGGGATCTAGTGGGAAGGTGAATGAAAGAAAAACCAATATAATCTTTTGTTGGGAAAATACAATTTTTTTTTTTTTTTAATAATAATCACCCCGTATAAGTTTGGCAACAAGATTACTCACAGATGGTTTTATTACAAATAATAAAAATTCAAAAAATAAATAACACATCAATAAAATAAATCTCAACTACTGATGCCATTCATACAACCTAATACTGTGCTTAAAAATATAAAATAAAAGAACAAACAATTAAAAGAAAAGATGCCGGAGATTACTTCAAACGGGTTTTTTATGCCCCACACCTAGTCACCACATTCAATGGCGCGGGACCAGCAGTCTAACTTCAATCTCGAACCAGGAAAGCTAATTTCGACAAAACTAGGTAACCACCCTTAAATATCTACAAAACCCTAACTCCAAAATAATTAAACTCAAATCCTAATTTTCCCATAGATCACGAGAGAGAGTCTCTTAGATTAGATCATGAGAGAGAGAGAGAGTCTCTATGTTGGGGCGTGCCCCCTAGGGTCTTTTTAGGAGAGAGAATAGAGAGAGAAAATCAGAAAGTAGAGAGAGAGGGGCGTGGCCCCTAGAGAAGAGAGAGAGAGAGTTTATGGGAGAGGGAGAGGTGTGTAAAGATAGGGGAGAGCACCCTAAATTTAGGTCTAGGGTTTCTTTAAGGTTTCCATAGTTTGCTTCTTTCTTAAGATTGAATATGGACCGTTGATCAAGATGACTTGTGGGGTGAGAGATCTGAACTATCCATTCCATAGATGGGCCATCAATATTATGGAAGGTGCATGCACCATTATCTCCCTTTCCTTAAACGATTTTCCCATCAATATATTTAAATAAATTAAATCTATTAAAGATATAATGCATACCATAAATTGCATATTCCTTCTCATATTTTCCATAAGAATATTTCAATAATATTAAGTCAAGATATTCCTTCAATAATAAAGATAATATATGGTCAATAGTTCTTAATCAATATTTGACCATATGCCATAAGATATAGTTACCATATTTAATAAACTTGAAGACAAAGCAATAAGAGAAGGTATCCAAGGGTGGGGCGTGCCACCCATGTATGGTATGTGGGGCCCCACCTAACACTCACATGATGGGCCCATGTGCACTATGGGCCCCTATGTATTTTTTAATAAATATTTTAAATTTAAAAAATGAATTTTAAAATATTATAACTTTGTAAATTAATAACTTCATTTTTATAAGTCCAAAAATAAGAAATAAAATATCAAATGACTTATAAAAATTCAAATAATAAATCTAAAATAATTTAATAATAAAATGAATACTATTAAATTAATATAATGGGAAGTGGATCCATATGGTTCAGGAATTCAATCAACGATCACGGGGTACTCCACCTTCAACTGTGGACTACAGACCACACTTGCTTTTTCGAACCGACCCAGTGTTTCTTATGACCCGCAGTCCAAGCAGGGGCTCATTAGTGGGTCACCAAAGTCTGGTCGATGAGCCAAGGAGTCGCAATCGCAGTCTGTGGATTACAAGTCATCCCCTGGAGAGAAGTCAAGGTCACCACGACCTGATGCGACCACAACTCTATGACGCATAGAGGTATTTCTCTCACATGCATATGCTTCATCCAAAGGTAGATATCTAAATTTTTCGAACAATCTATTTATATGCATGCCGTGTGATGGAACATGGATGAAGTTTTGGCTCCCGTCTCTGTAGACCTACCATCATACACAAGGGTCATACAGTCTATCGGCTCACTCATCTAAGTATAAGCTCCGACCTCATCAAAGACTAACCCAAAAACCTTTCTCGATTTATTTTTTATGCCCAGGTACCTTAAGTTTTTCAACCGACCGGTCTAAATCGTCAAACACAGTTCGATATCCATAAATATCATTTGCTTAATGTGTCTTTCGAGGGACCACGTTCCCATTAAATTTATATTTTACTATAATATTTTTCATTACACACTCGTGAAGGCTTTAAGGGCCACATAAACCCAATCGTGAATTCATCGTAGAATAAAGAAGGAAGATTGACTTGATGAGAGCCTCGATAGGTTTGATTTCTATGGGGATCGCCAATACGAGTTACCATCTTCCTTCTACGATTTCGGGTCACTCTTGGTATTGAATCTTCATAATTGCTCCATGGCTGTTCCTTTGGAGTCCAAAGTCTTTAGATCTCTGAAAACGTTATGCCTCTATAGTGTTGATATCAATGACGACCAACTTTCCGTTTTGCTTTCTAAATGTGAAGTCCTTCAAAACTTGACCTTACATCGTTGCGGGGACGTTGAAAACATTAAGATTTTGGTTCCTCATCCCCAGCTTCAGAGCTTGAAGATGGAGGAATGCCATATCAGTGGCGATCAACTTTCCGTTTTGCTTTCCAAATGTGAAATCCTTTAAAACTTGACCTTACATCGTTGCGAGGACATTGAAAACATTAAGATTTTGGGTCCTCATCCCCAGCTTCAGAGCTTGAAGATAGAGGACTCCATATCAGTGGTGATCAACTTTCCGTTTTGCTTTCCAAATGAGAAGTCCTTCAAAACTTGACCTTACATAAGTGCAGGATCATTGAAAGAATTAAAATTTTGGGTCATACCCAGCTTCGGAGCTTGAAGATAGATGGATGTACTACAGAATTAGGGCGACTTGAGATTCATGCTCCAAATTTGTTGTCTTTTGATTTTACTGGGTGGGCGTTTGGGTCTCCTGTGTTAAATGTTCCCCGGTTGTTGAAAGTATCGATTACTCCCTGTTTCTCTTATCTTGAAAGGTATGGCTGTGAAATGGCTATGAATCTTACCAAGCTAGTTCATGTCAAGTCTTGGATTCTTTCTCCAGGAAAATTACTGCACCTGTCTTTTCTTTGAGGGAATTCTCATGAACTTGTTAAATGGTGTTCCCATTTTGGGAAATGTTCTATAATCCAACTGTAGATTCTTGGGTCATCACCATCCATTTCAATGATAGAGGGTAGAACATACCGGAACAAGAGATGACCCCTTACCCTAATGTAGGTCCTGTTCTCTTTCTATCACCATCTGTCACTTCGATGGATGACGGTGAACCAATGGACTATGGTCTCTTTGTTGTCCATGTAATTTATTTAGATGCAGTTCACACCAAACATTTAGAAATTCATGGAATATATTAAAATTCAAAAAAATATTCCTCATTTTCTAATGCTAGTTTTCTAATCATTTCTTGTACACAAAGATTTGCTGAAAGACATTGGGCTGCCTTCTCTTATTGATGGATATGGTCATACGCCTTCTATTCCACAAGTTCAGTAATTTGTTTTTAGTTATCTTATTATTGATACGGCTTCTATTATTATTGGCTGTTTCTAAAAAAAGGGGGCACCAATGCTGTTAAAAGTCATTGTTGTTTTTCGACTTTTATTTCTTTACCAGTCAACTTCTATTTCTTCACTAGTCATCAGTTTTATACCTCTTTCTATCCTCTTAAAACTGAAAGAGAAGCTTCTATGCTTTTGGGGGGAGCCATTTCATTAGCAAGAATTTCTGTGGATTGAAAATTTAGAGGAATTTTTGTAATTTGATCTTTTCTTGGTACATGGGATAAGACTCGGACAATGATGATGATGATCATTTCTTGGTACTTTCATAAGCAATTATTGTTAAACCCATGTCCTTACCACATTTAATGGTTTGTTGAAGTCTTTGGCTAAAGATGGAGCAATGGACCATGTGCCTACAAACTTCCCAAATCTCAAGAACTTGCCCTGAAAGTGAACATGGCAAAACTTTCTTGGGTTACAACTATGGCTCACTTCCTTGGATGTTGCCATCATTTAGAAGAAATTGTTTTTTGGGTGGGTCTTCTACGATCAGGAATTGCTCTACCTACTTCCTTTTTATTTATTTATTTTTATTTTTTATTTAAAGTTTAAAATTTTCTTTTTCTTTTTTCAATTCTCCTTTCTCCTTATTTTTATTCTTCTCACTTTTATTCAGCTTGACCAACATAATCCCGAAGGTTGGCTAAACCGGGACCCCAAAGTGCCCACATATTGCATTGAAGACTGCCTTCGAACTGTGGTGATAAGAAACTTCTCAGGACTGGAGGAGGAGGAAGCATTCGTAAGATTCTTGCTCATGTATGCCAAGTAGCTTAAGAAGATCACTGTTAGTTGCTACGAGAGCATGAGTTCCGAGCGGAGGATGCAAAAGCTCTCGAGAATTTGGCAAAAGTAGAGAGGGCTTCTCAAAATGTTGAGATGGTTATTGATTTTGACTCAATCCATGACCACATTTTTTACAAACCTATATACTACTTACATGACTCCGACTACGATTCTGACTATGATGATTATATCTATGATTACGCCATTGAAATAGAAGATTATCTTCTGAACAAGAAATGATCATAAATCTTTTCTTACACTAAGTAGGCCAAGTCTTGGTTCAAGTTTGATCCTTCAAATCTTCTATCTCAGTAAGTGCTCTATTTTTTGGCAAGTTTCAAAGTATGCCAATTCCGGCTTGATTTTGCATCTAGACTTCATAAGTTCATCTATTGATAAATAATGTAGAAATCTGGATATAGTTCATCTCTGATCTACAGAATTAGTATGGGGTTTCAAGAATGAAGAATGGAGTATAACATTTTAGTTGGAATCAGAAAATGGAATAAAAAATGTTGGATCGCTCATGAGATATGCTTTTCGGAATTTGGCAATGTCATTGGAAAACCCCATGTTTATATATTGCATTTATTTTTTGGAAAAAAAACCACGTTTATTATTCTTATTATTGTCATTTTTCTTCTTGTTGTTGATTTGACTTTAATTATTTTATTTCTTGTTTGGATTCTTATGATCGATCCTCATATTATGCCCATACTTTTATGGATGTTCTCCCGAGTAGTGTACGAGGCAATAAGAAACCCCTAAAAACTGAAAAAATAAAATTTTAAAAATAAAAATTAGTGAAAATCAAAGTAAACAACATTAAAAGTTGAAATAACATGGAAAAAAAATATATTAAACATGGACTTAGAAAAAATTGTTTTATAGCTTGGGACATTTTAGAATAATCCAAAACAAAAGGTAAATATACAATAGGGCCTATGACAAGAAACACTCACAAACCATCATCAACAAATTGTAAATATGTGCAAAATATTTATACATTGATTTTACAATTTACGAGAGCTTTTTTTATTGCTCTTTTTTTTTTCAGATAACCCCGAGTTTTGCCCCAGTACTTGACTTGGCAAAGAGCCAAGACTGAGTAACTCGACTAAGTCTGAGTCGACTCGGTAGTGTCTCTAAATGCTGAAAAGCCATCATGTTTTTGTTTAACAAAGGGGGCAGACTTCGCCTCCTTTCATCTTTTTGTTTTACTAACAGCACTTGGGCAAGGACTGTAGCGACTTACCCTATTAATCTAGAACTTGAGGGAGTCTGCATGAGGAATTCTTACAGTACTCATGAATACTGTGCAGGTATCTCACCCCTTGATTACACACAATTTACTCTCCATGCAGGTGCTCAGGTCGACTTTGCCGAGTTTTCAAACAATGAACTTCCTTTAGTGTTCAAAAGAAGAGTCGGCTATGTGATGTAGTAACAGTTTGTATTATCCAGACTTAACGAGGAGGTGTTTACCTTAATATTTGGAGGGAGATTCTTTTACTGCAATTTGGATTTCAGTTTTAAGGTGTTATCAAAACGGATTTATTTGGAAATGTATTTCTTTTTTAAGGGATAACTGTGTGTTTAAATGCTGTTATAAAAGTTAGTAAGTTCAATATTTGGTCTGCAATATAACATTTTCGGTTTTATAAATGTCCGCAAACATCATACTTCATGGACGACAGAGTCCATATGCAATCTATAGTAATGTCATATAGTTTATATAGTGACAATATCTAAAATGTGCACTTTCTTAACATATGTAATGTGTAATTCTCCCAAAAATGTTCAGGTTGTGATGAATAAATGTACATTATAAGATGTTCTCTATTGGGATAAAACCTCAAGAAATTGTAACATTCATCTCTATTTTGTCACCGAAGTTCATGAAGATGTAGATATTCTTGTCTGGTGATGTGATCGTGTAAAGAATCTTCTGAGTCTATCTAATATGGCACTATGGTACTTTTAAAGATGATACTCATGCTCAAACCATCCCCTGCGGCTTTGTAGCCATCAAAAGAAGTAAATAATTTGGAACGTTTTGTTTATGATAAAATAATAAATGAAGTAAGGTTGTGGTTTTTTGCTGGGCTCTTGATTTACTAGTAATCCTATTAACTTCGGGCTCTTTTCCTTTTTATCTCATAAAAGAATAAATATCTACCATTAATAATCATAAAGATAAGAAAAGAATGCATAACATGCCTTAGATTCTGTTGTCATTGTTTCCCAACATGGTGAATGGCTTGATAGTTGATACTGATGAAAAAAATTACTTTTGGAATGGTTGATTTTGGTTCCATTTTTGGGTTGTGTAACAGATTTTTGAGCATATGGTTTGCAGGCAGTGATATGGAGGGATGTAATGCATTGGAGAGATCGAAGGAAGAATCATAGAGGGTTGAGACCCTTGATAGGTTTAGCAACTTACCTGGAAGTGTCTTTAGTTCCATTTTTTCATATTTGCCCAGAAAGGAAGCATG